AACCAATTTCTTTCTTTTTGTTTGCATTTCCATTTGTTCAAAGTAACAGGAGAAATCCTAAAAGGCACAAGTTTCTCATTTAAAGCTTGCACTGTGTTGAATGAGAATAATATTCATTTGAAAGGTTTTTTTTGTTGTTTTATAGTTTGGAGTTATCTTTTGATTAGGATATGGGAGTCTTTGAATTCGGTCATTGTTGTGTTCTCTATATAGAGTGTTTCCTAATTGCTATATGACGTTTTTTATAAATATTTTCTTAGCAATCAACGAAGACGACGACGATACCGTTGCAATGATCAAAGAATTGCTAGACTCGCGAGTTCGACCAATGGTTCAAGAGGATGGTGGCGACATAACATATTTAGGCTTCGAAGATGGGGTTGTCAAATTGAAACTTAAGGTTTGCTTTGTCATCAGTGATCTTCCCTAGAACACGATCTATTATATTTTTCTAGGGTTCATGTACAGGCTGTCCTAGCTCCTCTGTGACTCTCAAAGCTGGAATTCAAAACATGCTGCAGTTCTATGTTCCGGAAGTGTGTGCTCGAAATTTGTAAGATAAGCATATCCGCTTCTTATTCGTCCACTTTCAGGTAAAAAATGTGATTGAAGTAACTGATGAATCAGATGATTTGGTCCAGAAGGAGCTAGAAAAGTTTGAGAAATCGCGAGGTATTGTTGATTAGTAGTCGAACAGAGCGCTGCAAGGTGTACATTTATAGTTTTATGTCATGTTAATTATTCAGAGAAAGTAGTTCCAATAGATTTGTGCTATGCGAACCTTGACCTATTTAAATACATGTTAGTAGCCAATATAAAAGGTCTAGAAATTTTTGTCTGTGCAATTTTTGACATACAGTATCGTTTCTTGAGAGTTGATTCCGCTTTCGTCGGACTTATATGACTATGTGTATAAATTTCCGTGATTTTTTTGAACGCTCATCTTTCCATTTTTGTATTTTGAGCAATGATGTTTGCTGTTGAAAATTTCTCTCTTGATAAATCCCGTTCGTCGTATTTTCGAATCACTTGATTATAATTTATTTTTTTGAGCAGAAGGGAAAAGTCGCGTCAACAAAAAAAGTATTTTTGACACCTAAGCATAACTTTTTGAATTTTTTTGAGGAGAAATTACTTTGAAACGTTAGCAGTAGTTTATCAGATTATGGTGTTCTTCATTGCTTGAGATGTCCCTTTTTAAATGTCGATGTCTTCAAACTAGAAAGTCCTCGTCTCGAGGAAGCCCTTCGTTCAATTTTGAAAGTTTGGTTTAGCGAATAATGCACCTTCCTATGGTTAATAGTTGGTCGGTGGAAATTATAATTTGGAGCAAGGTGTGCAATATATAGAGGCTGTCGAGCTACGTGTCTTTTTCAAACTGGAAGACCTACGGTGTACTCGTTCGCTAATTTTTAGATTATGTATAGCGAATACTAGCAAGTGTCGAAAATGGCATTTGACAACCTAGATAATTTAATTCTTCATGTTTTGGAGGAGCGAGCGCAATTTTGTGATCAGAAATAGAGCTTTTAACCTATAGAGTTTGCTAAAAAATTGAAAAAGCATGAAAATAAGCGCCAAAAAAATTCACGGAAGTAGTGTAGAAATTAAGTGGAGGAAAACTCAACTAATAAGAGTAATTTTAGTATCAAAGATTCTGCTAATTGGAACATCAGATGTAGTACTGCTGTCAGATAATTGAATTTTTTATACAAATATGTAGCTTTTTTGCCAATTTAAGAATAAACGCAAGAAAGACTTAATTTAGGAAACTATGCTATCCTATAAGTTTCACATAGTAGCAAAGCTTTTAGAATGGATTTAGTTTTAAAGTGAGGTGGTAGCGAATAATGAACGTGTTTTGGTGAAAGCTCATAGGTTTGGTAGAAATCAATAACCGTTTGTGACTGTTTGTTGTTTTGTATTCTTCTGTCATTGTTATCATTGCTCATTTTGTACAAGAATAAAGCACGTTTTTCGTTGTGCTTACACATGCATGCTGCTTTCTCGAGCAACAGAACGAACGGTAGAGATTGTGAACTTTCTTTAAAAATTTTTTTTTCAAAACACGATTAGCACTTGGTTTTAGACGCAATGCTGGAACACCTCGATTGCTTGAGCTCGGTGGAAACATGATGATTGCAAAAAATATACTTATTGACAGATGCAGTTTTAAACGCTGATTCCGATACTGTGTGAAGCATTACTCTTAGAGGTTGTATAGGTTTTTCTCTGACGGCATTACTCAGCACAGTCGGCCAATAATTGCTCTAAATTTTAGCTTCACAAAAGAAACAGTGGAAGGTGTCTTAGTAATCAAAACATCCTCACATCAGGCAGAGTTCGTCGATGTGTCCGATTCTATTCTAATAAATTCTTGCCTTACAATACCAATGCAAAGCTGACATTTTGTTAAAAATGGCGTGCGAAAAGCCGGCTGAGAAGCATTTCGTTGCATAAGTCTCTAATGCTAACACCCGAGCGAACTTTGGGGGTACGAAAAACGGGTAGGCCACCGTCTTACGGGCGTAGATGCGTAAGAAAGTTAGCTCGTCCAAGGCACTATCCAAGAATTTAGTACTCCGATTAGCTGCAATCAATGTAGGATCCCTTATAAGGCCATTGTAAGTTGGCATCTTCTGAAAAGAAGACGAGTGGATGTGGCCTGCTCACAGAAAACGAGTTGGAAGGCAGGAACTCACGCGAGAGCGGAGATGATCATAAGGTAGCAATAAAGTGTGTTAGCGTAGTTGTCTACGAAGCCCTGAGAAGCGTAACTGAAGTTGAGCGAGTAAACGATCCACTTATGAGTCATTTCACATTGGAAAAAGGACTTTCCGGGGTTACTGCCTACAAGTTGGATGCAGAGAGGAATCAAAAGGATACCTTCCAACAACTCGGTTGCCATATCAAATCACTACCCAACGAAATACTCCTGCTTCGACAGGTGGAAGAAAAATGAAATGGTCCAGGAAAGGGGATATGGGACATGCCGAACGCATTTACGAGTTCGTTAGAGCTTACCTGATGTTGGTGAACAATTCTTAAAAGAATGATTACCTCATAACCTATCCAAGTGACGAACAAACAAAAATAGACTTCTAAGCGGTAAGACAGGAGCTCAAGAATATAAGAGTGCAAAGTTAACTTCTCGACTTCAAAGTGCCTGTATAGCCGCAAGAAAAGAAAGATGGCAACATATAGCTAATGAAATGTGGTAGTGGAAGGACAGTGCTATGATCAAAGGGCACTAGCAGCAACTCCATTGCAATTGGAGGAAGACCAGAGCAGTCTTGGCCCGCCTGAAACCCGTGTCCGCATATGGAGAGAAATGCTGTATGAGAAAGGCTACAAAGATCAAGAGTAGGTAGGGTCTGGTGGTAGAATGATGAAATACAGACAGTGGTAAAAGTGAAGAGGTATGCATACAATTCCAGGCTTGTGAGGAAGAGGTTCGCCAGAAATACAGCAGGCAAACATAGAAAAAAAGCGAGTGGAGCTAAATAGGCGAGCTTTACAAGAAGTTGGAAACCCGGGATGGAGAACGATCGAATTGCGAAAGAGAAGCCCATTCCACAAAAGATGTGGAGCACTTTGCCATATCAAGGACAAGCTTAGAAAAACTATAAGAAGAACACAGGACATCATAGAAAGATGGAGAACATACCTCGAAGATATAGCATCCACAGCCCACTATTTGCAGTATTGCCACAAGCAATTTTCTAGAAGGACCAGTGTTCTCCACCACAGATGAGGGCGGCGTAGTAGGAGTTCCCAAAGCCTCGCCGCTTCTCCCCGGGGCTAGTAATTAGGCGTCCTGGAGGAACTAACACCTTCCAACCGCTAGGCTCTGACTCCGCCCATCGCTCCGCCCATTGACTGTCCCATAGATCGGTCTGAGCAGGGCTAGGAGACGGATGTGCAAACACAAGTGCAAGAAAAGAGGTGAAAAAGAGAATCTCTTGTAATTCTCTAAATGTTTCTCGTGAACATTCTTCTTGCCTCCTTAACCTGAACATCATTATGCTGGTTCCATATCTAAGATTGCCACTTCTCCCACAACGCTATTTCATATGAATCGCTTTTAATGTTGGATCACTATTCAGCATCCAACAGATAGCGCAGCTTTGCACACTCCTGGAGATAACATGTTCTAGCCATATCAAATCGTCCTCTTTAACGTCGTGTCACACGTACAAATCTATTCAATTTTATCTACAAATTCTGATTCGATCATTATATTCAGTACCCTTCTTATTGGTGTTTCTTTTAAAATCCTTCCTATCTTCTAACATTCTTCTGTTTTATACAATGCATCTAGACGACAACCCGTGCTCATAACATCACAGCGTGCTAAGACTGCTTGATAAATAGTGTAAACTATATTCATTATTTACAACAAACTCCGACTCATTAGTTTTTACAGAGATATGTCTTGAAAAAAAATTCTAAAGTTCTCCAGCTCTTTCTAACCCTAAAGCTAATCCGAAACTTCGTTAATGCCAGATCCATGTATTCCTACGAAACAGGGTTATCCAAAGCGCTTTAAAATTTATTTTCTCATCTGAAAAGCTGGCTCCATGCCTTAAATATTACCTGCATGATACAATTCTAGGCCCAATTACCACCTGATTTTATGAACATATGATATCTTGAAGAGCGTAATGTTTCGTTCTTTTCCTTCGTTTTTATTTCGCACACCCGTACTAGCTTTGCACAGACCAATCTGAGGGCAGACAATGGGCGGAGTCAGAGCCTAGCGCTTGGAAGATGTTAGGTTCCCCCAGGATGCCTAATCACTTGCTCCAGGGAGAAGCGGCGAGGCTTTGGGAACTTCTGCGCGCCCTCCCTTGGAAAGTTCATAGACTATGTAAGCGTCCCAAAAAAATGTACATTTAGATTTATATTTCGCAAAGACAAAAAAGTAGGATTTTGAGCTGCAATGTGTTCACTAATCGCGAGCTTATATTGTTGTATATGTCCCGTTGTAAGTAGAGTATCCACAAATATCTGAATGGGAAGATTGAAGCGTTAGTTGTTTGGACATCGAACACGCTCGTGATCCAAACGTCTTTATACGCTGCAGCTCTACGCTTTATAAGCATAAGGTTACAGACGATCCATTTCGGCTGCACTCTGAATCAAACACTGTTAATAATATCTGCAGTTTTATGCATATCGGAAAAATGTAATGCGGTGGATTTATTTCATCACCTTCACCCTCGTGTGGTTCCAGTGTGATTATTGAAGTGTTTTTAACAACATTATTTTCTGTTTTTTTTCTCCTCAAATAAATAAATGTGTTGAGTTGCTCAAGAGCATCAGCCAAAAAAGGACATTCTCTTTTGCGAAAAATTTACCCAACAGCAAATGTTTTTATGCAAACCTGAGCGTTCTTTTCTAAGGGAATGCCATAATGTGTAGACCACAAAGTCTGGCAATGATAACCATTTCTCATAAATGCGCCCAAAAAAAATGAATCTCTTATCACTGTAAAGTCCTTCTGGAATTTTTCGGCATCTCGTTTCATAATATACTAGCTTGCATACCCAGCTACGCTCGGCTGTTTCAGAGTAACCAATGCTACTTTGTTTAAAGATAATTTTTTTCTGGAAGGAGAACAATAGATTCCAAGATTTCCAGCATAGAAATTCTCTCTTAGCAAATCTAGGCTGAAAAAATTACGTCGTACTGTTCAGCATGTTAGCACATCTTTGCATCAGTTGGTAGCAACCCGAAAAAACCACGCTAGAAGATACTGTCTCGAATGAAATTGTACTCGTAATCAGCCTGTTAATAAACCACGTTCACAATTTTCAGGAGTTTAAAGCAGAAAACCGCCAAATTGATGGAATGAATTAGTAGAACTTTGAGAGGTTATCAAATTCGTAATCAGCAAACCAAGTTACCCCAGTACATCAACTCTTAGCTATTCAAAACGAAAAATGTGAAAAATCAATAAATCAATAGAGTCGACCGATGAATTTTCAAGAGGATATCAAATTCGTAATTGGCATATCATGTTACCCCAGTACATCACCTCCCAGCGCTTTTGACAAGAAACTGCAAAAAATCAATAGATCAGTAGCTCAATCGATAAATCTTTAAGTGGCTATCATATTTGTAATCAACATATCAACTTACCCCATTGCACCAACTGTCAGCTATCTAGAGCGAAAACTGAGAAATTCAATAAATCGATAGCTCAATCGATAAATTTTGTGGCTTTCATATTTGCAATCAGCATATCAAGTTACCCCAGTATATCAACTCTCAGCTATCTACAGAGAAATGAGAAAAAATCAATGAATCAGTCGATATTTTTCTGGATAAAGTGGCCTACGTTCTCCGCAATTCTCAAAAGTGTATGTGCGTGAAGTTTGGTCCGGATCGGTTCAGAAACAAAAATTTGTATTCGGAACACACACACACACACACACACA